ATACCTAGGTAACCTCTTATACGTAAGAGAAGACACAATACTTTGTCATGGCACAAGTCTTGAAATATCAAGAATCTATTGAGCTATTTGTAGCCCAGACTCAGAGAGAGATCATTAGAGATGATTTTAATGTGAACAAGGCACTGTGAGTTCAGGTGCCAGGTACAACGTAATTAGCATACAATGCTGAAATTGTGGATCTTAACTAATATCATAATAGAACAAATGCCTAATACACCAGCATAGCATGGCCTGTTAGTTCCAGGACAGTGGATTGCAGACAGGGGGATATGTTCTCTTTGTAGCTGCTCAGTATGCATGCGCAGGAAAAAGATTAATGCAAAATGTTGTCAAAAGAAAAGTGATGAGACAGAGCGATGAAATTTGAAGTCTAATTCCAAGAATGCAAAGAAGAAATGCATTATGGCTTAATGAAAACATTAAAGCAACAGACAGACAGGATTTTTAATTATTGCATTACTGCGTTCTGGATTCTAATGTCCACTATATATGAAAAGTTTTATAAAACAGTGATATTTTCCATATTGTCAGTTACGCTAGCTGTTGATTAAAAATCAGGAATTATAACAGCATAACTATTTTTCAGTCTGGAGTTTCCAGCCAAGGTTGCGGAGATACAGAGATATGTAAACATTCCAAGGAATTGAGAATACGTCGTTTTATATTCCAAATTATGAACAACATTACATACAGCCATAAAGAGAAAGACATGGCTTTTAAATAAATTCAGTGCAGTACAATGCAGTACACTGCAGCATGTATTTTATATAATATATGCTAACTAGCTCATATTATTTCCTAAACAGAGTTGAAATTATACTACCCTCCTAGAAAAAATGGCAACAGGTGGTTATACATCATTTGCTTCTCTAAATCCTCTGCCAAAAAAAATAAATATTTATAAAATAAATAAAAATAATATATATGTAAGATAAATCAGGGCAAAATAAAATGGTAACTATACAGGATCTCTGATAACTTTTAAACTGAAATTATTAAAGGCTTATTTAAATGAAATGTTAAATACATTTACAGCTTTAAATGTGACCAAAAGATATTAAATGATGTGTTAAGCAGCCAGCCCAATTCACTAGAATAGCATAAGTATTCTACCATTTAAAGTGCACAATTCCTGCACACAATGACTTTGCTTACTCAGGTACAGTCTTTAGTCTATTGCAATGGCAGTAAAGTCCACCAATTTTAAAAGGGAAAGCTTACTTGAATCAGTGGTACTAGCAGTAAGGAAATTAGAACAATTATATTGTACTACTGACTGTAATCAGATCAGACACATGTAATCTCAGTGAATTTCATAAACTAGGTTTTCATAAAATACGATTAAATAAATAAATGTATAGAGACTAAGCATTAAGAGCATTTACATGCATTCTGCAGCCTGCTCTCTCAAAGCCAGAAACAGATTTATAAAAAAAATAAAAAGTAGGTTTTAAAAAGTCCACAGTCAACCACACATGATGAGTGAAATGATTGCTTCTTTAAAAGCTATATGCTGCTGCAATTATGTATATAAATACTGGTCAGGGCACAGCGTAGAAATCAAAAATACAGTTTCAAATCTCATATATGGGGATTCAGTTCCACCACATATTCTACAATTCGGAAAGAGGCAAATTATAATAATATGTTGTAATAGCATTGTGAATATATATAATGCAAAATTAATTTGATATTGCAAGGCTGCAATATTCTAAACAGACATTAAAAATTAAGAAAAAAGAATAATAATGCATAAAGAATAATGCATAAAAAAATGCAGTGCCAATTAAAGTGATAATACTCTGATATATTAAAACACAAGGTTATTTTGTGTTCACAGACTATTCGGTTTTTTAAAAAAAAGCTGTTCTTTATCTCACATTATGAACGGCCTTGTAATTCCTATGCACACTAAAAGTTGGCTTTTAAATGTTATTGTTTTAACTTTAATATTTCATAGTTAATACAGAGAATAAAGAAATTTAAAGAAAATATATTGAAAGTATATTAATTGATAGGATTTCATTTATCTATTTTGGTCCACTGATCACTGTCCACGAATCTCAGTCTGGTGTTCAAACAGTTTTTCTTACGATACGTCGTGAGTTTATATCCACAACTGCATTTTGCTTTGTGGAAACAAATTGAAAGCCTGGCATTGTAATATGTGTATGGACATGCTTATAACAAAGCATGGTCCCTCTCCTCATGTAGTTGGTCATTAACATGCACTTTGATGCAATGTGTCTACCAATGCTTTTCTGTGGTCATTGGATCACATCGCATACCCTATCTCTCAGTCATGATGCAGAGTTTATGCTTGCAAGGATATCCAGACCTCATCCACCTGGTATCCGTATAAATATTCCTATCGTTTAGAGGGATTAATTACATAATAACCATTGAAGGTAATATGTTGGTTGTTCTTCCTATAGAGGAAAGATGGACTTGCCCTAAAAGCTTTTTCATGGCTAGGACAAGCTCTTATAGAGAGAGGTAATGTACTTCTGACTCCTGAAAAGGAATATTGGTGGTCACAATATGGGAAATACTGTAATTCATGTGTTTAGTAATCATAAGCATTTGCTTATTGCCACATTACTGATGTACTGTTTATTGAAATATTAATATCTAGCATACTTTTTGAATTACTATATATTGGAAGTGTGCCAACATCTCATGGTTATAAATGTTTTTGTATGTGTTGATGCATGTACCAGGTTTACTTGGATATATCCTGTGCGAAGTGCAACCTCTGATACCACCTTTTCTAGTCTCACTTCCTTAGTATGCATTTGATAATTCCAGGACCATCCATTTGGATTGTGGTCCTGCACTTACTGCAAAGGAAACCTAAAACTGGGCAACCACATTTGGGTTACTTTGGGATTTCAGTACCCCAACCACCCCCAAAGAAGTGGGGTTGTGGTCTGGGAGAATGCTGAGGTTAAATGATTATTAACCAAGTTACTAGAGAGGCTGACATGATGACATGTTCAGAAGGGTATGTTAACCTATTAATGATATTTGCAAGCATGTAATTTAATCTTATATACTCTGCTATAATGTATTTTATAGTTTTATATAATAAATATCCAAAAAGACAAAACGATTGCTTCCAAGACAATCCTTATTTTATATTGTATTCTAAATTATTTATATATGTTAAATAGAGGATCTCTTACACTATATAAAATTATGGCTAAGATATCTGTATGGTTAGCCCTACTAAGTTCTATGCTTTAAGACATTATAGTGGTAAATAAGGGAACCACCAGCGGTTACAGACTCGCAGACTCTATAAGCCATCTGCCTCAGCAGCACCTGTCCTGGAGTCAGAACTTGGTGCGCGGCAAGCTGCTTGGGACCAGGCTTTTCCAAAAACAAGTGCCGGTTCCGAAGTAATTCCTGCCTGCGTTGCTGCACCTGATCTTCTATCAAATCTTCGCTAACAGCGACAAAGGGCAGTTGGGGGTTTAAGTCAGTCTTGGGGAGTAAGTCAGGTACTACGCCCTACTCTCCTGGATTGTCCTCAGGCCAACACATCACTAAGACAGCAGCATCCCATTCCTGGTACCCCTTCAGCATATTTACATGGATTACATGTTGGACTCTTCGACCGTGGTCCATGGCGACAACATAATCTGAGTCGCTTAACCTCCTAACGATCATGTGGGGACCGCGCCAAGCAGTCTGCAACTTATTGGCTAGGAAGGGTACCAGAACAAGGACCTTCTGCCCTGGGACAAACTCACTAGTTCTAGCCCCTCGATCATACCAAACCTTCTGTTTGGTCTGGGTGGCACATAGGTTCTGCTGGACTAAGCCAGTGAGGGCCTCCATCCTCTCCCTGAACTCAAATACATAGGGGGCTACTGGTACTTTCTCCTGAATGTAAACCCCCTCCCAGAATTCCCTTAGCAGGTCCAGGGGCCCCCACACCCGCCGACCAAACAGGAGCTCAAATGGAGAGAACCCTGTGGACTCTTGAGGAACCTCGCAGTATGCAAACAACAACAATGGGAGTAACTTCTCCCAATTTGGTTCACTATCCGCAAAGCTCCAGAGCATGGTCTTTAAATTACCATTGAATCACTCACAGAGTCCATTGGTGTGCGGGTGGTAATGAGCAGACTTGAGCTGCTTAACACCACAGTGTTGCCACCAGCTCCGACATAAATTGCGTGTCCTGGTCGGACAGAATCTCACTAGGGAATCTAATGTGGATGAACACAGTCACCAAAGCATCCACCACAGTGACTGCAGTAATCTGGGACAGAGCTACAGCTTCAGGGTATCTTGTGGCATTTATGGGGATATGTTGTGTTGTGGGGTACTTATGGTACTTTATAAAAATGTGTGTTTTTTCTGCCTGGGGATAATCAAGTTAATGCATCATCTGCCTTAATTATATCACAGGGTAGGGATTGTGTACTGTATTTGGGAATGTCATTCATTATTACATATTTTCTATTGCCTTGTACACTTTTTGTCCCTGTGCCCAACAAGGTCCACCTGGGCGTCAACCTTGTTGGGAAACTTGTATAAAAGGCCAGCTTTGGCTTCCATTAAACAGACTTGCTCATGTTTGGTGGATTGGAGAACTACATACACTCTGGGGATTGCAATACTCACTATACTCCCCTGAGTATAATCACTAAGCTCTTGTAAGAGCTGTTCCTGCTACGATCTCTGGACTAGGAGAGGCCTACCCACTGGAAACTGGATCCTGGTCTTGAGTCCAAGTGGGTGGAAGACGGCAAGACCCCAACCAAGCTGCTGAGGTTCGTGGGGTTTACACTGGTTATGGTGTTCCAGTGAAGTGGTGATGGTACTTGTAAGTTCTAGGAAGCAGCCATTGACGGAGGTAGCCAGTTGTGTGCAAGGCGGTCCATCACAGCCTCCGACCAGGAACACCACTGGGGTACATAGCCCTGTCTGGCTGTGGGACATTCCTGAATTCCACAGTCTGTGCACGGGCTGCTACCACCATCCGCGGTGTTGACATAAACACAGATGCTGTAGTATTCTGTCCTGGAAGAGCAATCCTGAGGACTCCTCCACAAGTCTCACGGAAGTGCTGGCTGCAGTTCTTTGAGGCTGCAGAGGCTGTAGTGGGCTTCTGGTCCTGGGACCACTGTCGCACCTCTGCTGGCAAGAGGTGGTAAAATTGCTCCAGCATCACAATCTGCTTACAGTCCTCCTGGTAGTGCACCTTATGGGCATGTGTCAACCTCCAGACACACTCTGGGTAGGAGTTGGCTGGATCTCCCAGAACTTTATCCTGTAGGACTCTTGGGTGACAGAGTACCTGTCCAGCACAGCTCGCTTCATGACCTAGTAGTCCCCCCATTTCTCTCTTGGAATCGCTCTGCAGGCCTCTTGGGCTCGTCCTATCAGTCTCCCATCCAGTACCTGCACCCAGTCATCTGGCAGCAAGCGATTGAGCTCACATTGCCATCCAAAGTCCTTCAGGAACCCATCTATATCATCCTTCTTATCATCAAACATAAAAAAGCTGTTCTCTGATACTTTGAGATGAGGACCCTTTGTCTGGCTAAATGGGGAGACCATGGCTGCGGTCACATTCACCTGGTGATCACGATACTTGCGGGCTAGGTCCTGCGATTGCTAGCAGCTCCCTCTGGCTTGCCTGGCCGCCTGTGGCATCCCTGGAGTCCTGCATTCTCTGGGCCAGTCTGATTGCTCGGGTTGACATTGCAGGAGCGATGCTGGAAGTCTCTGGTTGTGGTTCAGACACTCCACTCTACTACTCAGCCATGTTGCGTCTCTGAGCTCTGGTTATCCCACTTCAACCACCGGTTTGTGATGATACAGACTAATATTGTCTGTGGGTACTTCCACCAACTTGCACAGCTGATCACTATACTAAGTGTTATGACCTGGGCGTGGAGTCCCTTTATCCACCGGCATTAACATTAAATCAGATCTTGGATATTTACACCAAGTAAAGAGACAACCAGCTTCTTTCTTGGGCCAAACAGCAACAACCAGGCAGATATCTCAGCATGGGGGATGGCTCTGCATCTTGTGTCATGTTACACATTAAAGTCTCAATACCATTGTAAATTTGGGCAGGCGTTGAGAGTCTCCAATAGCCAGAGGGGGAGAGAGCCCCTAAGTCCCCATCATTTCGGTGAGGTACCGCTAGTGGGGGCTCACCCGAAACAATATGTCCTAGTTTGGTACTGCTAGCAGGGTTATACCCATTATAAAATCCCTTCTTGGTGGTACTGAGGCCAGGGTACAAGCATCAGAGGGAGGGTATATCGGGGCTCACCCCAATAGAATTAAAGGGGGCTCACTCTCGTGCGCAGCTGTATCAGACAGACTTCACTAACAGGCACAGTATCAGGCCATACAAGGTACCAATATAATACACAGCAGTTAACAGTGTAACCCTATGTGGCAGACACTTAAATCAGATACTTATTGGTAGTGCTGCACAATATACAAGACAATGGTCATGTGCAGCATATAGCATGAGACAGCCCAGTGAAGTAAGCACCTGAAATTGCAGTGGTCCTGACACTTGCAGGATGATCTAAGCGGTATGCAGAGCGGATCTGACAGAAATCCATCAGGTAGGTGAAATTCTGGTGAGAAAATGCAGCCTGTAACGAAATTCAAGATGATTGTGAATCTCGGTATCTATCAAGATTCAAGATTGTGGCCGTCGCGCGCGAGGTCCCACCGGGTCCAACTCCCGCGGGTCCAAGCAGTGTGGAGAGATTGCAAGCACCCCTACCACCTGGCAATAAACCCCCACAGACAGAGGGCAGGTAGCCATAAGGAATGAAATAAATGCTGTAAAGTCTAACAGCAGGACTGACGTGTAGCGGCGGAACTGCTGCCGGTGCACTTGCACCTGGGCCCGCACACTGATGGGGCTCATCGGGTGGCCCATGCACTTAGGGCCCTGTATCTTCAGGGGCCCGGTCAGCGCTGTGGCCGTGTAATACTGTGTCAGTATGTATGTCTGTATGCGTGTATGTCTGTTTCAGTATGTGTGTCTGTTAGTATGTATCTGTGTCCTTTTGTATCAGTGTGTGTGTTTGTGTCTGTGTGTGTATTCCTGTGGGTGGTATTTGGAGGCGGACCCTGTGGGTGGTATTTATGGTGGCAGCCCTGTATATCTTAAGAAAAACAGAGAAAGCATACGATAAAAAAAATTATAATAGGAAACGCCCCAAAAATGGAACACTCACAATGTTCAGAGCTAATATGCCTAGCTCTGGCTTATTTTAATAGCCTTGTATGATGAGGGACCATACACACCTTCTCTTAAGATCAATTAAATGTCCAGATACGTGTTTTACTAGTACGTCTGATTTCCTCAGTCCGGTAAGTATGCATGATGTATACACATCACACATCATGCATACTTACCAGAGCCAGGCTGTAACCGAGTGCCTGTACCCTGAGTGGGACCTCTGCAATAGATTCTCCCAGGTCCCATACTGAAGCAGTGATTATAACTCTTGCCTACCCAAACATTAGCCAAGACTTGATGAAGGGTACAAAATTAACTGGTTTATTATGACCAAGTGGCCAGCATGGGTTCTCCATTCAGTTTTAAAGTAAGCCCACCCAGATGCCTCTATGTCTGGCAGATAAGTGTGCTTTTGCTTAAACAAATTATCTCTCAGTCACTCGAGGTACAATACAAAAATACAAAAACACCCTAAAATACATATTAGTTTGATAGGAACCACCACAAGTCTTATATCCCCAGATAGCCCTGATCTGAGCTCCCAAGTTGTCCAAATAGCGCTCAGATCCATACAGTATAGCCAAACTAGCACCGGGGTAAAGTTATGACCGACCACACATGTAGCTGCTGCCTGAAATGGTTCCAGAAAAAAGGAGGTAGCGGCCGGTCACCTTTAGAGTTCCTACGCAAATTTAAATGAAGTTTCCCCCTGGCTCGTAGGGAGCGAATGTTCTTCATGTTCGGGAGCACCTTCTCCCTAAAAAACGCTCTTTTGGCTTGTCTGGGAACAGAGCAGGAAGCGGTATGATTTCCCAGGGTTTGCGAGGCAAAGTGTAGGAAGTATAGTTCCACGCACTTGGCGGCCAAGTAAAACTGCCTGCGTTTGGGAGACAAGATGGCCACCGTGTCCTATAGCACGTCTATTCGGGTATATGAAATGGCGGACACCCAAAGAGAGTACTAAAGTTTGTGGTTTCTTTGTAGTTAACAAGCCAGGGGGTGGTCGGGGTTCCGTAGTTTGTATGTACCGAACCAGGTAAAAGCATTTGAGGTTCGGTGACATTATTAAATGAAATAGGGGATGCACCACATAGGCATATTAGCTCTGAAAATTGTGAGTGTTTCATTTTTGGGGATTTTTGCCTATTATAATTTATGGTTTTATACTATTGTATGATTTTTCTGTTTTTCTTAAGGTGGATATAAGAAGCCACCTATTCTATAATTTAAGATAAGTGTATTTTTCTTAACTTTTAGCCCTTTTAACACTTTATACGAGGTATTTAGACACCGTAAATATGACATGGTGAATATTATATAAGCGGTTCATTGCTTTTTAAAGAGATGAATTTTACCCTAGTCTGCCATAGGAAATTACTTGGCCCCTTACTAACACACTCATGTCCCCGACACTTAATCATACCTCTGACCGGAGAACTACCTTTAATGCATTGATGGCCGCCATGATTATAATCCATAATATTGCACATTTTACTAAAATTTCATAGTATCTTTTTTAGATTTTTTGTTGCATGTTGCATGTATTCTATTATACTTATTTTCAGTTTCAAAATACAAACACCTGATTTTCTTATCACAGAAATAATCTTTCTGTAGCGGAGATGCAATAGTACCCAGGTTATCTCCGCTTATAATCCAAGTGAGACTCAGGAACAAGTAAATAGTAAATCCAAAGGCAGGGTTTCCAGCAGGTAAAATACAGCAATATCCCAACAGCAATCCCAATAACTGGACGACACACAGTTTCAGGAGCATAACTGACAAGCCTTTAATCACAGTCTCCTTATAAAGCATGCTCCCATGCAAGGGAGGGATTTACAGTAATTATTACAGTAGCCAATCCTGTCCTGGTAACCTCCCACACATCCCCTCCCCTCAGCCAGCATCATAATCCCCTTAGCCAGCACACCAATTCCCCCCATTTCTGGATGTACCCCTAAACGTAGGGGTACCCCTTTAAATCATACATCCCCGGGTAGCCCTGATCTGGGTGAACAACATATCCAAAAATCACCCAGATCGGACCAGGGGTTCGGGAAAAGTATGGAGGGAATAAAATGACCGACCGCACGAACAGAGCTAGCCGAATTCGGTTCCATGTGAATGGGCCTTGCGGTCGGTCCTGGCATAAGGGAATCAAATACACGAAAGCCTCTAGCTATAGAGGCTAGGGGGGGTTCGCCTGAATCCCCTCGTTCGGTATTCCCTATTTACAGAACGAGGGGCCGTTCGGTAGTTTGGAACCGAACGGACCAGGGCTGTGGAGGTCTCAGCGGTGTTCGCCTACTCGAGTGTCCGATTTTAGTTCCAGACACTCGACGGCAAAACACCGCTGTTCGGGAGTTTTAAAATGGCCGCCGCCACGTGTTCGTTTGTCGAATGGCGGCCACCCCCGAGAACAAAGGACGGCTACTTACTGTTCAATTACCCGTTCGCAACAATGTTGCAACGGGTAATTGAGGACACACTTCACACAGGGAGGTCTGGTTGTTCGGTAGTTTCATTCGAATAAACTAAGGGAATGAAACTACCGAACAATCAGAGGAATACAATTCTTTTTCAATACACAGAAAATACAGCAGATACACGGATGCAGCTTTATACAGTATTTTTGTAGGGTCGCCTGGTGCAATCCGCTACACTGCTCCCCCTTGCCCACAAGCCGGCATACACAGTCTGATCCAACACGGATCGGCTTGGGGATGTCCGGGGAGGCTCACGGATCATTTCTCTAGGTCAGTTTGTCGAGACAACCCATCAGCATTTCCATTCTGTTTACCCGGGCGGTACTGGATATTAAAGTCAAAGGGCTGCAGCGCCAGACTCCAGCGCAGCAGCCGGGCATTGTCCCCAGCCACCCGGTTTAGCCATACTAACGGGTTGTGATCCGTGAGCAGGGAAAAAGCTTGTCCGTACAAATAGGGC